AAAACCTGCTGCATATTACAGATGGTACTCAATCTCCAAGTAATTACCCCTAATAAGTCTTCTCGCTCTACAGGCAGCAAGAATTAATGGAGAATATTTTTTTGAGATTTATGAACGATTAATTGTGTATTTTAGGGGGGTGGTGGAGGTATTCAAGATTTGCCGGGATTGCCGGCAAAACCTGCTGCATATTACAGATGGTACTCAATCTCCAAGTAATTACCCCTAATAAGTCTTCTCGCTCTACAGGCAGCAAGAATTAATGGAGAATATTTTTTTGAGATTTATGAACGATTAATTGTGTATTTTAGGGGGGTGGTGGAGGTATTCAAGATTTGCCGGGATTGCCGGCAGGGGTGAAGTTCGATCCGACGGACCAGGAGCTGCTTGAGCATTTGGAAGGGAAGTCGAGGCCGGAGTTGCAGAAGCACCACCATTTAATAGATGAGTTCATTCCCACCATTGAAGGCGAGAATGGGATTTGCTACACCCATCCTGAGAAGCTTCCTGGTAAATTAATAATGAAATGAAACTAATTCACTCCCACTTTCGTATTAATTATCGAATATTAATTGAGTGTTAGATTTTAATTTTGAATGTTAAGTGTTTTCGTGTCGAAGTTTTAGATAATTACTAATTAGATTTATTCGTCTGCAAAACATTGGAGACGCGGAGAGGAGATTACGCACGTTCTTAGCCTAAACTAATTCTTGATACGGTGGTGGAGCACCATTTCAAGATGTCGATAATATTTAAAAACTTTATCTATCCTCGGGGATTAGAGGCTCACGTAAGGAAGAATATTAAGAAGTATGTTTGTTCGATATACAATATTTTAATTAATCTGCACAGTAACAACTAACAATTTTTAGCTAAATTGATTCTTAACGAAGAGATGCACGACTTAAGTAATGGCTTAAATGCTTCAGATAATTGTGCTTGTAAGTCCAATATTATTATATGGGTTTTTCTAACAGCATTCATTAGGGGAAGAAAGATATATATAGAGGGGAGAGGTAAAGATAGTGCCAAACAAAGGCTCATTTGCTATTCTTTTCTCTTTATCTCTCTTATCTTCTAACGAGTATCCATATTAGGTTCAGATGTCGTTCGGATATGATATATAATCATGTCTATATCCGCTTTCTAAAAATATATATGAATATAGATATTTTTCGGTAAGAAAAAATCATAACCATATCCACACTAACATATATGGTTCAGTATATTAGAGAAGCGGATACAAATATGGTCACAACAATACAAATCGACTATTTGGGAAACGTATATAAGTAGGGTAGGAATTGAATATGAGGAAAAAAATATCATGTTTAATTGGATAGTAAAAAGTTATCAGTAGAAAAAAAAAAGTTTCACATACTAACCTAACCAAGCCTTAGAAAACCAAAATTGCATACATTTAATTACAAAAAAAAGTAGAAGACAAGAACTGAAATGCAAAGTACTATGAATTTTTCTTCTAGACTTCACATTTTATAATATCCATTAAAAAGAACAAATCAAATTATAGTTTAACATAATTTGATATAAATAAGCCTAAAATATACAATTTGATTACCTCAATAAAAGTACAATTCAATAAACTAAAAACATATGATAACATCTAGGGGTGCACAAAAATAGCTGTATCCGAGAAAATAATTGTATATGTATTTGTTATGATATAAATATGGTTGCTAAAATCTATAACCATTAGATATGGTAATGTAGTGAAATATATGGATTCATATCCGAATATTCAATGGTCATACTATTGCAACAGTTTTAATCGTTTAGATGAATAGATTTGAGGTTATTTTTTTATGTTCAAGAGATCTAAGTTTAGCTTTTCAGGTACAACTAACATATAAATGAACTCTATGGTAACATATGAACAATGTTTTTCTAATATTATTTAGTTTTCTCACATACGTTTTTTATTTGCATGTATATCCGCGTATATATCCGTATGTATATCTGTATATGTAACCAATTTTAGCAGATATGGATACAAAGTTTTCTTATTGAGGTATATTTGTATCCTTATATGTATCCCTGATTGGTAGGCAGATATGGGTATGGTAAGTATCATATTCGAGCCATTTTCCGACTGTACGCACCCCTAACGAGATTCCAAAGCGCATCAATTGTTATTGAGATAAAATTTAGTAATATCCATATCAGTATGCATATCCGTATGCATATCCGTATCCAATTCCATATCCTAATCTATATCCGAGTATATATCCGAATTCATATACCCAAACTGTATCTGAAATTTGGACCAATATCTGTATCCAAAATCATATCTGACTGAAATTCGAAACCATATCTGAAGTCGTACCCGTATCCGACCGATTTCAATTTTTAGCTATCATATCCACATCCATTTGAGATACATTTGCGGAACAGATTTGGACATATCTGGACCGCGCGTTTTGCATCCTAGTCCATAGGCATCCTTTAGGAAAATTGTAATTATTAAATGTTGGCTATAGCTTGTGCAGATTAGAGTCTTATTACCTACTGAAGTGCTACTCAACTAGTGGGTTTGTCATGAGTAATATTAGTTAAAAACAACTGTCTCTTTTTCTCTTTTTGGGTCTCCAAGTGTTAGAACTCACATTTTGACATATCCAAATTTCAAACCTAAATATATTAATCAAGAAGCTAAGATATATCATATACTCAAAAAGGTGGTATCATTGAACATATACAATTTGTAATGTGAAGTTCCATGCATGTTTTCAAATGATCAAATCATCAACAATGTTAGCATAGGGTTATAAGAAAAAAGAGAAAGAGAATAATTAAGCTCCACAAAATAATGCGCAATAAAAAAAATAAACAGTAATACATGAAAGGATAAATAATATTAAAAGAAAGATATGCATGAACAATGTTTAAAACAGCTATTATTTAATTTTAATTTAAAACTACTAATTAACCACTGTATGCTTTTTTCCAGCCAATAATAAGAAGTTCAATTAGGACATCCTAAATGATCTATTTCAGAAAGAAGCCAAATGACATTATACCTTAGAACCTATTATTTAACTCTTACATTGGTGTTCGGAAAAAAAAAGGGGTAACTCTTGCAAATTGCTAGCGAAGATCATCATTCATAAGTTCACTTAGAACATTGATGTGGCAACTACCGTGTCAAACTTTTGAACTAAATGGAACTTTGATTCTGAAATGATGATTATTGCTGCTACTGTCGTTGTTGCTCTTCTTAGGCTAGACTTCGTATAGAATGTTGGTAAATAAATGATCTTAGGACATCTGCAATGCATACAAAAAAGAAGAAGAAGAATATTTACCTCTTAAATATAAATATATCCGTCTTTCTTTGATAATTTATTTTGTTTTTCGATGCATAGGTATATATATTAGGAATATTGAGGTAATTATTGACAAGCACGCATTATATAATGAATCAGAACCACTGAAAATTTTCTTGAGAGTAAATAGTAGCGCGTAAAATGAATGCGCAGATTCCAATTCGAGTACTTTCTTTTTATTCGGCAATAAAATGAGCAAGCTGAAGTTACGCCAGACTTCATTAGCTGCAAGTAGAGTATCTTTAAAAAAAACAAAGATTTTATGGGTGGTGAACAGTACGTACCAAACATATAAAAATTATTTGAGACATTTCTTATTGGATTTGTGAGGATTATTTACAGTGTATTAATTTCTTGTACGTATAGGAGTCTAGCTTCTTATCTCCCTTGTTGTACATACATCCCGTGGTCCTTTGACACTCATGGTGGGAATACTATGGGCTTATGTTTATGTTTAACCATCAACGGGAGTTTTAAAACTAACAAAACACAATCAGTTCTAATTGTTAAGAGTATAAAATTATAACCGTCGATCTTTACTATATTTTTAAAATTTTGATGCAATAGCAGGGACTTTTAAGAATATGATCAAATAGATAAGGGATGATAACTGATAAGTGGCTGCACAATTATAGAACAGTTTGTAAAACATAGGAAGATATTGAGCATTTACATGCAATTAATGAATTCATCAAAATAACAGTTGCAACTCTAGAAATCATGTACTTACATAGAATCATTACATTAATTGTAACTTAGTTATGTATGAAAATAGATTTTTATCTATTTCTCTATTGTAACTTATGTGGGAAAATAGATTTTTATCTACTTCTCTCAACAACCTTTCAGTCTACAATCTCAAAATTCCAAAACAAATCGCGACCATTTTCTCATACAATCAGTTTGTAGCACAAAAGCCTATCAACAATAAGATATGACATCCTTTATACTCAATTTCTCTCTTCCAACTCTCAGGTGTTAGCCGTGACGGCCTCATCCGCCACTTCTTCCACCGTCCTTCAAAAGCCTACACCACGGGAACACGAAAACGCCGAAAAGTGCACACCGACATCCACGGAGGCGAGACTCGCTGGCACAAAACAGGCAAAACAAGGCCAGTTCTCTCTAACGGCAAAACAAAAGGATACAAGAAAATACTAGTTCTGTACACAAACTACGGCAAGCAAAAAAAGCCAGAGAAGACAAACTGGGTCATGCATCAGTACCATTTAGGCTCCGATGAAGAGGAGAAGGATGGCGAGCTTGTTGTGTCGAAGGTTTTCTATCAGACTCAGCCGAGGCAATGTGGGTCTGGATCGAAGGAAATCAATCAGGTTAAGTCTAAAGGAGTGACTGGAGATGACAATGGTAATGTTAATGTTGTTGATTATTATGGGAGTTCTGCTGGTTTGATGAGTTACGGTCAAGGAGTGCCTAGTTTCAGTGTGCATGCTGGTGGGTCTTCTAATTTTCTTCAATGAGTATACGCAAGTGACTGAAGTATTAATATTACTGCTAGTAGGAGTGAATAATGTGGAAGGGGGCTGTGAAAAGAGGAGGCATGGATGTTTACTGTGGTAGTAATTAATTGACTGAAGACTTACAGAGGAATGGATTTTTTTAGATGTGAGATATAAATGCATGCATTTTTACCCTTTTTTCTACAGATAATAATACTTCGTTCGGGGCTTTTGCCTGATTAATAGTTGTAAATTAGGATGGAGTTATTTTCTAGCATGATTCGTTTTATATATGTGGAATATCGTTTTGAACTGTAACGACTGTGACTTTTACAAAGTGACTCAAAAGTAATATGTGAATTTATAACTAACGTTCTCTGTATTGATCAGCTACTTAGCAGCAGTACAGGATAAAGTAGAGCTCATCTCTTTGACTGGGGTATGTACAGTGTACACAAATACAATAAGCAAATTAAACAGACAAGTTAGCACAATGAAATTCATTAGACATATTTAAACAAAAAAACGAAATTCCTCATCAGAAACCCTGTACTAGATATATGAAATAACTCAAATCAAACGTAACCCGAGTTCAAACAATGGTCAGACGATCAAATCGAAGTAAAATCTAGTTGCATACTATGATCAGATGAAGCAAACAAACGAAAGTCGTCGAACCTGCTTACAAACCAAGATCACAAACAATCCTGCACATATTTGAATGGACAAGAAGCAATCATTTTCAGCCAATTACGTATAAATTTAACAAGAAGTAAGAAAACCATAGCCCACAGCAAACACCGAATTGGCTGTACACCCCCAAAACCTCAAAGCAAAGATGCTAGTATCCTAACAATACATTCACAAAGCTCTGATACTACTAACCGCAACTATGCTGTATGTTCAGTGGTATTAGTTTCTCTAAACTCATTTCTTGAGTACGTGCTTTTCATACAAAGCAAAAATTTCTTTCTTAAGAGGGTTCTTCAGCTGCAGCAGATGCCCACCAAACCCGTGCTTCGTAAGCTCCTGTTTCAGTTGAATCACAGTCAACTTTTTATAGTCTTCAGACTCATTTTCAGTATTATCCTGACTCGGGTTTATATTATCATCCCCTCTGTAGACAGAACCACCATCTTCAGTCTGATTGTACTTTAATGGACTAGTAGTACTCTTTGACCTCTTTTTACCCCTTCCCTCGTCTTCATGATCCAAATTATGCACAGACTCTGCGCCTAAATGATCATCCGTTCTAAATCTCTTTCCTCGAGCAGTCTTCAGCTTACTATCAAGTGCAGTCTCATTGAGTCTCACTGATGTCAGCTCTTGCTGAAGAGCATCAAGTTTTCCTTGAGTAGCTTGGAGTTGTAACGAAAGGGCCTCTGCTCTACTGTTAGCCTCTGTGAGAGCTGCTCTTTCTGTGGCCAAAAGACTCTCAAGGACTTGAACTGTGCTGGATCTTTGCTCATTGTTCTGATTCAACATTTCCTCAATTTCTCGCTCCCTTTCATCGACCCGTGACTCAAGTTGTGAAACTTTTGATACAGCTTCTAGTTCAGAGAGACGCAACCTCTCTGCTTCCTGCATCAGTTTGGCCTTTTCTCGCTCCAAGCTCTCGACTTGCCTTTTAGCTCTCTCGATTTGTGCCAATCTTTCCATTGCCAACCGCTGAGCTTCGCTCTTCTCCTTTTGAGCAGCAGCTGCTTCAGCACGAGCTGTATCGGCGAGCTCAACTGCTCTCTTTGCTTCCCTTTCAGCATCCTTGCACCTTTTATCTGCTTCATCGAATTTCTTGCACTCAGAAAGGTATTTTTCCTGGAGATGCCTCTTTTCCTGCTCTAAAATTCTGACTTCTTTCTCCTGTGAGTGGGCTTTACTGTTGACAAACTCTAGCTTTTCATTTACAATCTTGATTTTTTCTTTTAAGGCTAGAGTTTCCACCTCATGGCTCCTCAGTTTGGATTCAGCAGTCTGTACGCACATTACGGTAGCATTATGCAAGAATAACAGCATTGTAATGATTCCTCAAAGAACAATTATATTGTAATATCAGTGGATAACATAGGAAAAATATCTCAAGTGAGAGGACATACCGCCAACTTTGAAATCAAACTACTCGCATGGTTCTCAATCTGGTCAACCTTTGAAGTCAAATGCTTGACCTCATCCTCCTAATTGTTTTACAAACAAAGATTAGCATTAAGCAAATATTGCACAAATAAACTTATATACATAAAAAGAAGATTGAAAAAAATCACCTTTTCTGCCAACTTTAGAGATAATTCAGCTCGTAGAATATCCTCACGTTCTTGAGCCTTCCTATTAGCTTGCTCAAGTGCCATTGCTGCTCTCTCACGGCCCGTTTTAGCTTCATCAACAGCACGGTCATATTTTCTTTTCCACTCTAATGCCTCTTCTTGAGCAGACTTTGCCTGTTCTTTAGCAGCTGCTAGCCTCCCTTCAGCAACACTTATCCTCGACTCTAGAGCCACAACTTGAGCATGAAACTTTTCTTCTTCTGCCTTTACCTCTGAAGATACATTATCATACTTGTTTTTCCACTCAAAAGATTCATGTTTGGCAAGATCAAGTGCTTTTGATAAACTCAAACAGCGCTCTTCCAATGTGCTGCATTTTCCCTGCAAGTTGGAGATACGAGCAGAGTAGTCCTCAGAAATTTTCTGCTTATCGCTAACAGCTTCCTCATAACGTTTCAAATAGTCAGCTCTGTGCTTCTCATTTGCCTCTAGTTGCCTCTTAAGCAATGCCAACTTGTCTTCACTTGAGGTGAACTTCAATCTAAGAGCACTTCTTTCAGATTCTAATTTGTCCAACTGCTTCTTGAAAAGGTCAAATATAGGTCCCTCCAAACTGCATAAGTAAAAAAAGTTCAGTATAAAAGAATGGAACACTTTCCTTCGGTTGGATCACTTAGCAGCTAGCAAGCAGTATCAGGTAGTGAGGACAGAAAATCTGAATAGATCAAGTCTTATGTAAGATACAAACAAAGGTGGAAGCACACCAACTTGATTCACCCTGATGTATCAGTATCAAAGTCGTGTATGTCTAAAAGATACATTGACTGGGAAGCTAAGTCATGGATAATTAATGATTACCTACATGCTATCAAATTTTTGTATGAGCTAAATTTGATGCAAATCAGACAAGTGAAGGACAAACCACTTCTGCAAAAAATCAGCCAATTTCTTCGACTTTCCAGGACCATAAGATGACGATTCATAATCAGAGACCACATCATCCAAGACCTGTAATGGAGAATGCACCAGCATAATCACATATACTCATTCCAAATAATAATAATAATAATAAAATAAAAACTAAAACATGCAAATCAGAAACTGTATATGTAACATGGCCTTTCCAGTGTGATGTAAAGATATATAACAATCTTCCTTTATGAACAGAATAAACCAACCCCTCTTCAATCCTCCAAGAAAATGGAGAATGTGGTGGGGAAGGTTGATTGATTTATTAACCAAGGGGTAATAAACCACCTCAAACCCAACTAACTGTAATCAAGGTTTGCACTTTGCATATCCAGCAAACTCAAATTATCCTCTCCAGCCTCTAAATAAAACTATCAAATTTGAATCAATTAAAATTTGGATCAAACATTGATGTATGTCAAATTTAGTAGGAGCCTACCCCAGGTTACAACCAATCTGATAATAAGCCTAGACTAAAGCAGCATGCCTGATCTTTCTACAATCACCAAAATAATGTGGAGACTAAAATGAAAAAAGCTTTCTAGATTTTTCATATTATATAATCATCATGAATATGAACGAGTTATTGTTCGAGATGAAACCTGCAAAAGAACCCCCAACTGGTCATACGCCAGAACCTTTCCTAAAATAATAATGAATCTCTTAAAATGCTGTCATGTACATCACTACAATCTTCGCCACGCCACTGCTTGAACAAGATTACTAAGTTTTCCCCCACAAGAATCGATATGGAAAGGTATTTGTACATTAGACTTGCAATTCAAGCAGCTACTTTGACCTTATCCACAGCTTAAGTTAGAGATATCTGCTCCAAATACTTTAATTTTATCTGCACCTAAAGTTAGAGATATATGTTCCAAACTTCCTTAACTATCACCTTAAAGGAACAAAGCATCTGATATCTCAAATTAGAATTATCTCATTTACATTATATATTACCATACCATGTGCACTATAGCACCTAAAAAGTAATGATCAAATAATAAGTAAATAATCGTCTTATGAGCAGGGTAAAATGCTAAAATACTATTATTCCCTGACATTACATAAGATAAAGTTCATTCTGCTTTTGACTACAATTAAGAAGCATGTTAGGAAAATTGTTCTCAATTGAATCTAGACCAAAATGCTAAAATACTATTCTTCCCGACATTATAAAAGATAAAATTCATTCCGCTTTTGACCACAATTAAAAAGCATGTTATTTTTAGGAAAATTGTTCTCAATTGAACCTAGAACAAAAAAAAAAGTTCAGCAATCCTGTTTTATACCCTTAGTGTCCGACTGGGTAGTACAAAACACAATCTGAATGGCCAATCCGCACCACGATTGGCTGATTTTTCAGACCTTGGGTACAACATTAAAGACCTTTATATTATACAACCTAGCGTTACATCTTGCACGCAGAAGCTCCAAGATTGCAATGTAATTGTAATATTGACATAGCTTTATTACGTAAAGCATTACGGATATCTGATAAGTGCTTTCAAGTGTCCAAGTGAGTGGCACGCATAAAAACCTAAATCTAACATATCCAGTTAGGATTGTTGAGAACTTGTTTATGAAAAGAGATGAGATAGCATGCATGTGAAGCACACAAATCAAATTAGCAACTGTGAGAATCATGTGAAGCATACAGCAATGGAGGAATGATATTTGCAAAACTAAAGTTAACTGAACATTTTATGTGTGTAACATTGTATTGGAATAAAGTAAGTGCCTTACCCGCAACACATTATCAAGTTTTGCATCAGGAATATGACATGCAGCTCTCAACTTTGTTTCCATGCTCTGTATGGTGGTAGAGCAACGGAAATCTGCCTCCAGGAAAGCATTCCTTCTGTGCTCCTATGGAAATATAGAGCAAACAAAGAAAAGCTGATCCCTCAATTACATAAACTATTCCAGAAGAAAACACCAAATGAACTACATGATCATAATTGGAAATTAATAGGTCAGCAAGAAACAAGAACAAAATAAATCCATAATAACATAATTAGTGAAAGCTGGAGAAATAGTTATAGCCTGCGAAAATATGCTACATCAGCGAAACTTAGCTCAAGAAAATTTCAAAAGAAGTTCAACAGAAGATTAAGAACATAATTTCAACACAAAAAAACTGTAGGGCCCTCGATAAGCAGTTACTCAACCTCACTATGACACTATGAAGATGCAAGAGTAGTGAACTATCAACACGACTACTATCATATGCAAAAGGTCATTCAGTACTTCTAAATGATGTAAGCTTGCAAACCTCAAAAAAACTGATCAATGAGAAGGAAAAGAAAAGAAACAAGAAAGAATGAGAAAGAAGTGGCAAAATACAGAAATGGGTGCAACAAATTTGGGAAATCTTAGGAACAAGCTCTTAGAAGCTTCATGAATTCATCAATAAAAACATGGATGAACAAACTAGAGAGTTCTTTTGACCGCTACAACAACAATAACCAAGCCTTTTATACCATGTGTTTTGGGCTCAGCTACAAAATCTTATCCTATCATTCAATTCTGTTGAGGATCAGCTCCTTCACTAAGTTAATCATTATCCTTCTTGATTGTCTGGTACCAGGTTTTGTTGGGCCTACCTTAATTCCTCCTTTCACCACTAATTATACTCTTATGACTCTTATCACTTCTCTTAATTGGTGCATCTAGTAATATCCATTGCACATAACCAAACCATCTCAATCAGTTCTTTCATTTCATCCCCAATAGGACCAGCTGCTTACTTTCTATGAATTTGCTCATTACTTGTCCTATCTTAAAACAAAAAAGGTCCAAAAATGTCTCCGTAGCCACAGTTCAAACCTGCAGACCATAGAAATTGGAATCCAGAAACATTTCATGGCAGACTTTATCAGAACTATCAGAAATTTCAAAAGAAACTGCTTAAAAAAATCCAAACAGATGTCTCCAGCTCCACACTTCAAACATGCAGTCAGTACACAGACTAAATGCAGAAAAGCATTTCGTTGACAGATTTTATCAGGGCTACCAGAAAATCTTCAGGATAAAAATACAACCTAATGACTCAACAATATGAAGGTACATGAGAATAAACGTTGATCCCTACCTCAAATGTCTTTTTAAAGAAGTTGTGAAGAAGTTTTTCATAATTTAGACGTGCTGAGCCCGTTCCAACAGCACTGGAATTAAAAACACCAAGTGCCTTTTGAACCGCAACTTCGTGTGCTTCTCTAAGAACAGCCTGCGTATAAGTTGTTAGTGCTGGAGTTGATTCAAAAATTGATTAACACACAAGTACTGTATATAAGGATATATGTATATATAACAGTCTGTACCTCCTCTGCTGGCTTCGTGCGGTCAAAAGATGAAGTGTATGCCTCAGTAGCAGAATCATATGCCCTACGACATTCTGCCTCTTCAAGTAGTCGGTAAAGGCTAATCAAATCCGTTAAAGGCTTGGGGTTAGCCAAAAATCCTAAAGTCAACGCCTAACACGCGTCGCCGGGTAGTCTATTCCCGTGAGAAAGACGAAGTCTACGTATTCGAAGTCGTAGCATCAAGTCTAAGGGAGTTCATTCCTTTAGCACAACGTCACATGCGGAACGGACTTAAGACAATCCGCATGTAAGCCCGATTCAAACGGTAATCGGTAAAAGCATGACAAATCCGTTGAGGGCTGAGGATTTGCCAAAAATCCTAAGTCAACGTCTGATACACGTTGCTGTTTAGTCTTTTCACAGGAGAAAGACGAAGTCTACGTATTCAATATCGTAGCACTAAAAGAGTTAACTCTTTTAGCATAACGTCACATGCGGAACGGACTTAAACAATCCGCATGCTAGCCCGACTCAAACGGTAGTCGGTAAAGGCGCATCAAACCCGTTGATGGCTGGGGATTTGCCAAAAATCCTATAAATACGAGAGTCACTGACGCATCAGCTTCATTAGTTGGTCTCGTGACTTGAGCAACATACGACATTCAAAACCCTAAGGTCTACGCCAGACAACGCGTAACCTTAGATCAACGCCGATCAACGCGTTGCGATCAAAAGGTCAACGTATGATGGTCAAAACCCCAGGGTCAACGCCGGTCAATGCGTAACCCTAGGTCAACGCCAGTCAACGCGTTGCGAGCAAAAAGGTCAACGTACGACGGTCAAAACCCCCTCAGTAGCAGAATCATATGCCCTACGACATTCTGCCTCTTCAACACTCTGCACAAGTACACATATCAGTAGACATGACCCTGACATTTACATACTTCTAATTTACAATTCAATAGAAGTTAGTAGCAACAATTTTTATTGTCATTCCACCAAAAACATATCAGACGCAAAGTATAAACAGAGGATTACAATAGACGCACGACCATTTGCTGTCTACTATTCTTTCTCTAGAAATTTCTCCTTTTGATTATTTGCCAGTGCAATCTTTGTTTGGACACTTAAACAGAAATTCTAGAGGCACATAGGGGATCAGGAACCATGTGCCAGGAACACCTCGTGCTATCTTACATAACCACCAGGATACAGATAAACGGGCACTTCTGCTGCTCAGTAAAGCATGTGAAAGATAAGCCCGATGGCATGCTCTGGATAAACTCACATGCATTTATTACAAGTGTCCGGTAAATATTCTTCTTTTTATGTGTGTATTTATGGATCTCATACACAAATTTGAGGAAATCAAATGAAGAAATATGCTCCCATCTCACAGACTAACCCTTCTTGTTGATTTTCAAATAAGTATCCTTTTTAGCCAATTTGATCCTTTGTTCACATGCGTAGAATTCCCTCGGAGCATCTAAAAGGGATAAGAAACCATATTCCCGGAAATCTTGCATGTTTTAATCTGAATAAATTACAAGGAGGTACTCAACTGCAATGTCGGCTTACTATATAGGCATCACCAATGCAAGCTAGAAACCTTACCACCTGGTCAAAGACATGCATATATCTGAAATACTAAAACGGGAAAGCAATTTTTATTGTGTTAGGAATACATTTAGACTTGATATGTACAAGCATGTATAAATCGTTGTAACAGAACCCTCCAACTTTATCCAGGATTGAACCACCAGTGGAAGAATAGTAATAATCATGGCCTTAAAAATACATTAACAGCAAAGCTATAATTTGAAACCACCAACCTCTAAAATATAATATTCTTAGGTTTCCAAAGGTTCAAGCGTTATTCATACTAAACCATAATTTGCATGTCCAAGAACATACTCGTTATTCATTAAGAATTCTTTGCAAAACACATTTAGACAAGCATTGGATCATAAAACTGTAAACTAGAAATAAAATTATACCAACGAGATGTCCCAAAATAGAGCCTATTAACTTCCTATAGTCATAACTTATATGCCAAGAACATACCCATCATTCATTAAGATTCTCCACAAACACATTTCGACGAGAATCAGCTCATAAAACTGTAAACTGTGAATAAAATTATATCGACGAGATGTCCCACAATAGAACTTCTTAACTTTCTACAGCCTAAACCTATATATCCCAGCTTCTTACTACAAGCTGTGGGGATGCTATTGGGACCAATGTAAAAAAAAGACAAGAATGTTACACAAATCCACAGTAGAGATTGTGAAATAATTAAAGGAAAACGGCATAATCCTAGAAAATCTTCTAGGCAATAAAGCATAAGAATAATGAATCAACTAATAGTAACTAACTTATCTCAGTTTACAAGCATTCACAGTTTTCAAAAGTAACAGGAAACAGAGTGATTGTGCCCACTGGACAAATGTCTTCAACAAACAATATGACATGACCAAATCAAAATAAGTCAAAAGGCCAAAACACAACACATTGACTGAAACAAAAATAAACCAAATCATAAGCATTGCTACTACACTAACCTGCCAGGATGAAGATATAGTAGGCACAGCACCATTATTAATAGCATCCAAGAACGACTGTGTAATACCAGCTAGAATGGGACCTGTCATAACAGTAGCTCCTACTTGTTTAGGTTTGGTCCTCTCAAACACAAACTTAGTTAACGCATCAAGTCCTGATCTAAATTCCGGACGCAATCTGTCTAGCTGCATTACAGGAGAACTTCATATTAAGATGATCTGAATACCCAGCCAACAGAATGTGCAGACATAATATACGAAAATGAAATAAAGAATGAAACTGCCACTTACAGGGATTTGATCCAGACGTTGAAGTTCATTTTCCTTGTTCAAAGGCCGCACTAGGGTAAAACATTCTCTGTCAGGAAATAAAGCACGGATTGATTCGCGAATCTGTTATCAATAACTCAATATCAGCAGCTCCACATCAACAAATGTAACGGTCATAAAGACAGTGACAAAACATAAATCGGCATTTCTAAAACTATTTAGTGGATAATATATCTATAAAGCATCAAACTTAAAAAGTATGGCTCATATACTACCTCATTCTTTGCAGACATATCTCGTCCCACACCTTCCATCGGTCTCAATGCTAACTCAAGGTAATCACGTGGAGTAATTTTCCTATTGTCTTCAGCTAAATCCAAATAGAAATCCTGAATCACATGCTTGAGTTATTATTAACAACCAGACACAAAGAAAGCAAGAAGAGGGAGTGGAAGCAACCAAAAACAACAACCACAAAGAGCATGTGCTGTTACCCTCAAAAGCCAAACAAAAACAGGTGAAAATTGTGCAAGCTCTGACACTGTAGTCCTACCACCGGAGGCTCTAACACGAATATGTTTAGTCATTTCTGTGACTAGAGATAAACGATCAAGCGCAGCCTCATCTATGCCACCCATCTAAAGGAAATGAAAGGAATCCACTGAGAATAATCAACCAAAAAAAATTGCATCTTTAACATGAAGAACATCATATTGTGAAGGGGTTATATTTTACAGTTGAAAAAGAATATGCCTACACAGACTGTAGACCAATTCAATGTCGAGGATTAAGGAAAAGATATGGTTTAATAAAGTTAACACACCTGATTATAGATGAACATGCTTGATAGCAGGACAGCCAATGAGAAAATCTGTGTGCTGTATGTTCCCTGAAAAAAAAAAGAAATTAAGGAAAATAGAGAGCAAGTCAGACATTAAATTATGTGCATCAGCAGTCTCTAATAAAAAAGGTAACAGTAGGATAAGTTAAAATAAGTAGAAAAGGAAAATGCTAGAGGACAAGAAAAGAGCAAGCACCAATAGAATTACTGACTAGATTTTTGGAGATTAAATAGATCTTTCAGTAACATACACAGCACTACTGAAACATGTAACCATCAGCGAATATTACTCCTTCTATTCAAAGAGGTGTAAGTAACTGCACGAAAAACGGGGAAAAGCAACTTTATTTTGGTAGTTGCACATATGCATATATCCAACAGTCTCCACTGAAGTGCACAGTAATAAAAAGCGTTAACAGGTAATTATTAATAACATGGTAGGAGTGAGACCATAGACATGGCAACTTAACCCAGAGGGCAAGATGGTGTACAGAGCAGCATTGAACAATAAACAATTATTCAAGTAAAATGATAGACTTAGCTTTGATGCAGTTCATCAACTTATATGGTTAAAAGTGTATAAAATATCAGTATTTGAAGAAGCAAAAGAGGATAACGTCTAACCGTCTGATCATAGGCATCAATTCCCTCACTATCCAATAGAACAAGATTGTACTCAGTTCCATCAAGAGACGTTCTCTTAATTGGTGCGCTCCACATCCAAAGACCCTTGGTACATGGTCGATGTGTGGAAGCTACTTGAAATCCACTACTCCTTCCTAGAAGCTGCCAAAATCCACATATACTGTTATTATACAAAAAGGAATTTTGCAGCAGCAACAACAACAACAAAAACAAAAACTGATGATGAGTCCCTGCCTAAAAAACAGGGGGGGAAAGCTGTACAGGAGTAATCAATAATTACAGTGAGGCATAACTTAAAAGAAGTCACTATTAAGATATCTCACAGGAATGAAGACATTATAAAAAACTGAAATAATTTGGGATAAATTCTTAAGTTGTTAGTCAATCAGAATTGAGACAGAGAAAAATTCTAAGGTGTAAGTCCATAGGATCCATCAAAGCACATGAATCACCTTTGATACTTGTCCAATATGTGTGCCTAACATGTGTCTGTTAAGTGTCTGACAAGAAGGTCCGATGTTTGAAATAGATACATAAGAGCTTGTCTAGTTAATCCCCACTAATATCAAGCATCATAAATTATACAAATGTTTTCACTTGTCGTTCTCTTCTTTCCGCTTTAGCAAGCACATTATATAATCCATAAGACCTTTTAAGCATCCTCAAATTGCCTCCATTGTTGTATGCAAGCAAAATTGTTTTACCTGATCCAACAAATTCAATCTTTTTCAACAGGTTTTTCAAGGGAAAATGATAAAGTTGTAGCCTTGTAGATTTTGGGGTTGAAGTAGCAAAGCAAAAGCATTTAAGGCCTGTTTGGTTGCGTTTTTCTAAGGAAAATATTGGAAAGTTGTAAAGATGTGAGGTTCAAGCCCAACTTTCTTCACTTTCCTTCATTTGGTTGCAACTTTAAAAACAAGGAGAAGTATTGATGTGTGACTTATAATGAAATCCAACCAAAGTGGAATGATTTTAGTGGAAAGTGCAAAATGTTGGGTTAGCCTAGCTTTCTCCCCCAACACCCGCCCCCCCCCGCCACAAACCATTTTTTATGGAGGTAATCTTATCTAAAATGTTCCTTTGAAAGGGGTCCATATTATGGTTCATAACCACCACTTTTCAATAATTGCAAACCAAAAAAAGTATTATTATCACTTTAGGATTCTCAATAGATTCCAAACCGAACTAAGCAAAAAACTCAAGGGGAAACTGATGTCGTGAATGACCACTTTCCATGTTGTGTCATGAATCCTAAACTTTCACAAAGGCACCCAAACAGCTCTTAGCGTGCAAGCACAAGAATTGAACTCAACTACTTAAAAGTTAATATCTTCTTTTACCTTAAATCTAGCATGTTTTATAACACCCAATCCTTTAAAGAATCGTTAGCTTCTCTTTCCATGATTTTACGTTCAAGTGAGGCAAGGATTATAGGAGTTCTGCCACCTCAGTCAATCCGGATAGTGTAAACGATAACCATTGCAGCTTTTGGAAACCCAAGTACGAAATTGGTTTAATTCAGACAAAGATATGGTACCCTAACCCCCATGAATGCATCTTTTAAGAGTGAGAGAATAGCAGTTCCACCCAGTCGTGTTGCCTTGTATCATCTCTCTTTAGCTCTCTATCTCCTCTTTCCCGCATGCTTTTTGGGGATTCATACTGTCATAACAGTTGGTTGTCTTCATTCGCGCAGTCACACCGCCACACTCTCTCCCCTATCAGATACAAACCTTGCATCCGCCTGCCACCACAACTGTCACCATTGTGTTTTCCCATATGCACAACCAGCAAGTATAAGCTCAACAGTGTCCAACATAAAGCATGTTCCTACTCAGGGCAATCAAAGTTCAGAATATTACTGGTTCAAGCCTAAACCTAAACCTAAACCTAAACTTTAACATCGAAGTTGCATTCACTGCACGGTTGGTGAATGTGCAGGAATAACAGTGTGCAAGAATTAGAATTCACTCATGTTCGTGCAAGTACACTAGTTCCCACTTCATTTTTTCGCACCAATTTCATCACCAACATCATGTTTTGCCTTTCTACGCCATCCACTAGAGTTTTCCCTCACTAATTTAATCTGCCACACAAAAACACTAACCTTACTAGAAACTAAAATATAAATTTACCGCATTTTTTCTTTTAAAAAGTACCTGGTTGAGGATATAACTCTTCCCCTGTCGAGCGCGGCCGCAGACCGAGACGACTCCGATGGGGCCTTTGACCAGCTGAAGGGTCGCCACCGCCTCCGGAATCACCTATAAACTTCCCCTTCTCGTCGCAGTACACTAGCCGCATGGCCTCGCGGGCCCCACCGACGAGGTCGACGAGAAACTAGGGTTAGGGCTTGGAGCGGCGCTAGGGTTTCGGGAGTTGATGGATCTTGAAGAAGAAGATTCGGGCTCCTTGGACTGAGGCGGCGTCGAGCCCCCACGGAATCCAAACATCGACCTCATACTTCGAAACTTGGCCCCCTTCGAATTTGGAGTTCGCTGAGGATTTAGGTTTTGCTTTTTTATTTCAGAGTTTGGGTAACAACAGGAGGGAAAATGTCGGGAGGCAGAGAGAGGAGAGAGAGAAAAGGGGGGCGGAGACTAGCGAGCATCCAAGAACTTGGAACATGCGCTGCTTTTGTCTCTTTTTTGAAGTGAGAGCGGATTGAAGCATTCATGGGTCGGTGAAAAAATTGAAAGGAAACAGAAGGGAATCGCGATAGAAGTCGGTGTTCTGGATCGAGGCCAAATTTTTAACTTAGATCTTGGGCCTTTTATTTGGGCCCTTGATATTGGCTAAAGCTTTATTGGAAACAAATATGATCTAGGGCCAAGACTATTTCAAGATGAATTTGGATCCAGCGACATATGAGGATGGGCCATTGCTGGGCTGGGGACGCAGAGAACTGGACGAATAAAACCCTAATTCTAACGTCGCCCTTGGAAATCGAAAAAAGAAATAATCGTGATTCGTGATGCTCGGTGTAGCCAGAAACGTAAATGGGTAGAAGCTCTCGTCCGTTAACTTTTTCGTTTTTAAGTTTCACGCTGCACGTCAAAACTATTTTTGAAATAAAGAGCTCCTATCATCTTAAGTTCACAATATGGGACATCTCCTTCTTTTCTTTACTTTTCTTTTATATATCTATTTGTTTATATATTGGGCTTAGAGAAATTTAGGTATGAAACTACGCATAACGGGAAAGTGGGCTTAGAGAAAATTAGGTATGAGGCTACACGTAACTGGGAAGTCGCAAGGTAGCAAGTCAAATACGCAAGGCATTATCGAACCCTTAATTAACTCCTCTCATTATTTAAATGCAACTCCATTTAATTAATCGAGATAAGCTTCGATTGCCATAACCTATTCACAACTCATCTTAAATCGGAATACAACGTCAAGCAGCCTCATTACTTACTTTGTCAAAACTCCACTTAAAGAAGTCTTTATCTTCAAACTAAAATCACCAATTATATATTGAGCACCTATAGATTTTTTTTTCTAACACAACAAATCCCACTGCTCTCATTTGCATCGAGAACAAGAAATTGATCAAAAACGGATATCAATCCGTAACTTCGGTCTCCGCGGGCTTCTCTTAACAGCAAACTAGAGTGAAAGCAAATACTTCACATTGCAAGCACGCAAACTGCAATTTGCTTGTAAGCCCAAGCCAAATAACAACTTGGGTTTGTACAAACACACAAGCAAGGAGAATCAAAAGCCGTCACCTTCTCCCTCAACAACATAAAATGATGCACTTCAAACGAAACCTGAGCTCCTTCATACCTCTGGCTTTCGCCATTGCTAAATTATTATGCGGAGAGAGGAAAACTAAGGACAGCACGATGTCGATGTTGCTAGATAGGGAATCGATAGATTTGATTCTAGTCCCTTTGGGGCTCGCTATAATGTTCAGTTACCATCTTTTTCTCCTGTATCGCATCCTTCGATTTCCTCACACAACCGTGGTTGGTTATGAGAGCCATAACCTAAGAGCGTGGGTCGAGCGAATGCTTAAGGTTAGAATGACACCCAATCTATACTTCTAGTCCCTTCTATATTTCTTTCGATCGTTTTTATCCTAAGCTTTCACTTGTTTCCGAGTTTTATTAGTACTATCCCGATATTTGAATCTCTCAACATGATACCCTAAAGTTTTGTCTAATTTACAAATTGTTATTTTACGACATCTTTGATCGTGAACACGTTTTGGGCAAAATTTGTGTTTGGTAAAACTGGATCAGTGTTGGTTAAGTTTTTTTAAAGCCAAAATTGGCCCTTAAACTATTTTGAGGGTGGCTATACGCCTATCCAAATTAAGTTCATTCCTAGCTTGAATAGGATAAAATTGGACCCGGATCAATCCGGTTTCAGTTTTTGAGTGGTTGTCAAACGTGGTCTTAGAATCATATCACCTGCCTACAAAGTGATTACATCTTAAATTTTATCCTTTTTTTTCAGACAGAAAACGTACGTCCAGTGAATCCTCTTCTTATTCTCTTCATTTGGATGGTTATTAAGAGGGTATAAATGACATTTAATTTTATGTTCGCAAAGCAGGTTTAATTTTCTCTTAATATCCGTTGAATAGTCACGCACTGTTTCACAGATTTAGTGTTTATGATTCTGAAGTAGAAATCGGACCAAAAGTTTCGGTAAACAATTTTTTTATTTCCTTATTGTTTTTTCACGAAATCCAAATATGAACACAGGGAAGCCCGAACGATATATCGATTGCATTACAAGTAATATCGAGCAACATGTCAGAATCGAGCAACCTCGCCTCAGTCTCCATCGCCCTGAGCTCCCTAATCGGTACATGGATCGGTAGCACGTCCAAAGTCTTCATGACTCAGGTAATCTACGGCGACACAAGCCAATCCACTGCCTCCGTCAAATACATCTCTCTTCTGGTCTGCTTTTTAGTCGCTTTCACTTGTTTCATCCACTCTGCTAAGTACTTCGTGCAAGCTGCGTATTTAATGAGTACCTTGGACTCAGATGTGCCGGTTAGTTACGTGCAAACTGCGGTATTGAGAGGGAGCAATTTCTGGGCCTCCGGCCTTAGAGCGCTGTATTTCGCGACTACACTGCTTATGTGGATATTTGGGCCCATACCGATGTTTGTTTGCTCGGTTTTTATGGTCCTAGTGCTGCGTTTTCTTGATACAAATTCGACTCCTTTGCACCGATTTCAGTTTTATACGGCGAATAAAGAGGGAGAGGGGAGAGCATCAAATGGTAAAGCGTATAGTAATCACGTCCGTGTTCAGCCTCCTGCTACTGTCAGTTAAATGATTTTCTGCTCGGTTCAATTCGTGATAATAAAAAAATCCTGATTATTTTTATAAAAACGGATGGGGGGTGAAACTATGCAATTGTATCGATGAGCAAAGACGAATAAAGCAATACTTCGCTTCGTAAGCAAATGAATGGCAAGTAATTTGGATTAACTGGGATTAAGACTTCGAGCACGTCCCCCCGAAAAAAATTAACCAAGGGCATTTTAGCCATTGAGGGATCAAATTGTGTAAGGCCCGTGGGATTTGCGCGCGGGACGTATGAAATTTTTCAAACATTTGAGAAACTAATATGGAATTATTGGAGATATAATGGACTAATATCAAATAAACCTTACAAAGTCAGAGAAATAGTCAGTGCACGTTAGAATTAATATAAAACTATAATTTTCGATCCTCACCATAACTTCGGAGTTTTGGTGTAATTGTTAGAGGAACTAAATTTAAGATGATATCAGAGCAACTCAGGTTCAAATCTTACTGGCCAGGAAATAAAAATGGATTTTTTAAAAAATTGACACTGTTACGTGAGTCCAAGTTTTAGCCCATAAAAAACGACGTTCAACCTGCAGATGCATGTTGGAATTAATATAAAACTATAATCCTAGACTCTCACCATAACTTCGGAGTTTTAATGTAATGGTTAGAGCAGTTAAATTTAAGAGTGATAAAATTTGACAAGTTGCTCACTCGTAAAGAAAGGACTTAAACTGCTGATTGAAGGGTTACCTCATACCTGTCAGTTCTCTACCCCTGTAAAAATAAATACCTGTCAGATTTTGACTACTTATGTTATTTCAAGCTGATGACTTTAATCTGAGTCAGCTATTTGATGTCTTCTACATGTGAAAGCCAGAAGAGAGTTGGGCTCTGAAATTATCAGTAGCTCACTCATTCAGCGTCCTGCTGGAACACTGTTGCAGCCTGAATCGTTGACTACAGACTGAAGTGGCCTCGCTCCTCAGGTCCATTCATGATCAGTAAGGACGTTACATTTGTACAAATCCAAAGAAAATTAAATGAATAAAAGAACAGATATGACCATATTTTTCTGGGGTGTATATGGCCGGCCTCGATCTTGAAGGCTATTTATTGTTTTTTTTTTTTTTTTTTACTTAGAAAAGTAATTATATGGGCATTTTGATGCGTCATGAATCCTTGGCTTTTGCTATAATCTTCGTTTTCTTATTTCTTTTCCTTCCTCTTTGAAAATGCTGTTTTTATTAGCAAGTACCTAACTTTGTCTTGATGCTGAAATCCAATTAGAATGTGCTATTTAACAAACACCTGCTGATTTGACATGATTAAGCACCTCAAATTGCTAATTATGTGACATTTAAGCTTTTATTTTGGATCACACCATTGAAAATTTGAAATCCATAAGACTAATCTTAAGGAAATGGACGGTTTATGACAACAAAATATAGGATAAGCAATGCAATATCATTTTATTCCACTTGCAACCATTTTGTTTGCAAGGGTAATTAGTAGTTAAAAGATGTGCATGTTGTAGAAGTCAATATCCGAAAGAGATACACGGAATCATTCTAATGAAAGAATTAGACAGGGTAACAAATTTAAATAGAATCTTATGATCACGCCTAGGTTTTAGAAATTTCCAGCTAATTTAGTTCTCACCACCTACTAAAAATCCACTGGAATAAACACAAAAGGCAACTCCCTATGCTACTGTTACACACAAGACATCTCTATCGATGACATCATACGTGTTACCTTAAGTAGATACATTAACCCTTTATTTGAGAGTAAATCCCCTTTCATTGTCCACCCTCAAAATACCACCAAGCCGAGGAGGAGGAGGAGTCCATAAAAGGAGCAATAAAGCAAAGTCACTCTCAAAAATAATGAATGATCTACAGGGTCTGTATATAGAAAGCTGAAATCTTGTGACTTGGGAGTGGTAAGTGGTAACTCCTCTTAATGCTATCCCTTTTTCTTTATTAGCGAACCTAACCTACTAACAACCTTGAAGTTTAACCTCAACAAACTCCCGGAAAACCGGAAGAATTCAGACGCACCTCTCTGTATTTTTTCGTCATTTTCTATATAGTTTGATGTATGGGGAACTGTGTGGCGATAACTCCATTTTTCTTTTGTTTTCAATGAAA